TAAAAGATTCTATAGCATAATCCTGACCATGTGGAAAATTTACAAATAATGCATTGTAAAGTGCATCTTCATTAATGGTGCCAACTTGAATAAGTATGCAGTAAAAGAACATGTCAGCAGCTGTACACTTTATTTTCCCCTACTTAGAAAAAAAACAGAAACAAAAGAAACCCCACTGCAACTGCCAAGATGTGATAGTGCAAAACAAAGAACTGAAAATATTTATTTGACTGTATTACAGTTGACTCAATGACCTGATTTTACCAAAAGAAGACAATATTGGGGGAAACAATGGGAACTAATACCCCTTGTAAATAAAAAATATTTGGAACATCTTTCACGCATTCACATTATGGAAGAAGCTGGCTGTATGCTGCCCCTCTGCCCAATAACCCTGCAAAAAAAAAGCTGTCAGCCTTTTCCCTTGCTTTCTCAGAGGGTGATTTTGATCCAGTTGAAGCGGCATCCATCTCGCCTGCCGTAGGCCCAAGAAAAATTGTTTATTTTAAGAGGGGCTAGAGACAAGTTCACCTGCCCTTCACTAAGCTGAACTGTAGGGTGACTCTGAGGGGTGCTGTTCATTTTCAGCTGCTTCTGAAAGTAGGTCTGAAGAGTCTCTCACCCCTGTGGAAACAGCCTTTTCTGCACTGACTGGGGTAGGGACAGTAAAAAATGAACTACCAGGAAAATACTGAGGTACTGATAACTTGTGTGAGGAATGCAGGCTGCAGTTCAGTCAAGTTTGGTTTTGTTGCTTAAGAAGTGCAAGTCATTAGTAACAAAAAACAAATAGCTTACCATAAAAAAGACCCCTATTTCATATATACGCTCAGCACACACCACGCACGCACACGAGAAGGAGAGGTAGCTTCACCTCGCCTCAGCACGAGCACCTGTGAGGAGCCTGCAGGGCAGGTATGTCGCTTCCCCACCTCGTTTTCCACGCTGGCGGCTCTGGGGATCCTCCGCCCTCCACCCGCCGAAGCTTCGCCTGAGGCACCGCGCGCTCAGGGCGGGAACTCCCGCCGCGCGGGACGCTGGAGGACCGCATCGCCGGCGTCCGGCAGGGGGCGATGCCCGCCCCAGCAGCGCCAGGGCTCGGGGACTGGCGCGCATGCGCCGCTCCGGCGGCGGGGCGGGCGGTTATGGCGGTGCTACTGGAGCACGAGAGCCAGATCTTCCTGGACCTGTTCCACCAGGACGGGCTGGTGATCTGCGCCCGCGGGCTCGGCATCGACCGCCTGCTGCTGCGCTTCCTCCGCCTCTACAGCGAGCCTGCCAGCCTGGTGCTGGTGCTGAACACCAGCCCCGCCGAGGAGGTGAGGGGACCCCTGGCAGCGGCGTCGCACCGCCCTCCCCCCGCCCTTCCCTCTCACCCGCGTCCCCGCGCAGGTTGGGCGGGCGCAGCGCGGGGGCGGCCGGCGGCTCCGGCGGGCGGAGGCTGCTGCCCGCTGGCTCCGAGCGGAGCGGCGACTCGAGGGGCTGCGGGGCCGGGCGGGCAGCGGCAGGCGGCGGCAGCGCGGGCCTGGGCCCTGGCCTTTGCACTGACGGGGGAGAATTTGTCAGATCAAATCAAGGTCCGAATTTCTACTCCTGCAGCACGATAAGGTTTCAGTAATAATAACGGGTTGAAATAAGCTTATGTACGTAACTTGTAAACAGCAGAAAACTGTTAGTAGCCGAGAGCAGAAAGGGGTGAAATTTGTTGACAGATTTGTCCCTACCTGTACAAAAAATGCCGCTTTCTTTTCCCTGGTATCAGGGACGTTTCCCATCATGAGGGAGGTAATGTTGTGGGGATTTTTTATAGTGACTGTAGCTGAATAGATATCAAAGCTGTAGTTTATACGACTAAGTTTGACGTATATGACCTACGTGCTGTAGTTGTCTTTGGTAGCAGGTGAGTGGACTAAAAGATGATTTCTTCCCAATTCTCTATTCATAAGTCTGTATTAAAATTGCCTATTCTTTGAAAAAAGAGCTATTAAAACATAAGTAAACGCAAGCTCCTTTGAGTGTCAGTTGCCCATATCTGCTTAAGTATCGTCTAGCTACTACTGAAGATACATAGATTTTTAAATCACCTGGATGAGTTTGAAACTGAACAAAGTATACCTAAGAAGAAAAAAATCAGGATAAATCTGAATTCATTAGGTAGTGTGTTATACTGTCATGCTTCTAATTTGTTATGGACAGCTCCTCAAACTTAACAAAGTATGTATAATTACGGGGGATTTGCATCCATTTCATCAATTACCTCAATGATGTCTTGTGTTTTTATTGCGTTTGGTTTAGGAGTATTTTATTGATCAGCTGAGGTCAGATGGAGTTGTTCATCTTCCTCGGCGCGTTACCAATGAAATTACAAATAATACTCGATATGAATTTTACACACAAGGAGGAGTCATCTTTGCAACAAGTCGAATCCTTGTGGTAGATTTCCTTACTGACAGAATTCCTGCAAACCTCATTACCGGTAAGAGTTTAATGAAATAAAGGTAAGACTGTGCTGTTTGAAAATACATAAAGCTTAATGTTACATGAACAGTTCTACTAAACAGTATTGAGGTTGAAGAATTACTCCTTTTTCTCCGTATAGACTGAGGTAAAAGGAGCAACTATGTAGATCTTCAATTTTTTTAAATGGCTTTATTTGTTCCAAACATGTTTGCCTTACTTAATCATACAATTTGAAAACATCCACATTATTTTTAGATACTGGATCATGCATTTGTATGGCTTTCTAATATCAATAAGTGGCTGGAAAACAAATAAGCAGTTGAACTATGCCACTGACACAAGAAACATGAAATTCAGACTGGCTTTCAAAGAATAATTGGTTATACTTGGTGAAATAGTGTACTATGGTCTATAGGACACTGGCCTATGATTAAAACTGATTTTTAGATGTCATGTTTGATCAACCATGCACACTACCTATTTTTTTGCATTAACAAGTTCCTCCTGATTAACAGTTTTATGCTAGAGCCAAAGGACACCAGATTTGTCAATTCTGGTATTTCTCAGTTTCAAAAAAGTGAACACTTTTTCTGGGCAATCTACTTTAATTTCTCTTTTTCTCCTTCACTCCTTCCTCTCTACCTTTCTGCCCTACCAAAGAAGGGAAAAAATGAAAGAAAGGAAACACACCTTTGGCAGTATGAAAAAAAGAAATACACTAAAGAGTTAAAAAATAGTTCTGCCCTATAATGACACTAAGTTACAGTTTTTGCATTGCCACTAGAGGTCAGTGTGCCAGCAGCTTTGATAGGCTTGCTGCTTCATTTAAAACTTGGGTAACGTGGTTCTGTTGGAAGGGTATATTATGTGTGTGAAATTGTATGACAAAAACTTGCAGTAGCGTTTCTTGAGGAGTTCACATAGCAAAAAGTCAGTAAGGTGTTCTGATGAACTCATAAATTCGGCTAAAAGAAGATAAGAAATTATCACTTTAGTAAAAAATAGTTATTCCTGGTGGTTTTGGCCAAATAGAAATTATATATTTAATGGCGTAGTAACACTGATGCAAGTTGGTGTAGGTAAAGAGTGGTAAGTTGTTTCTACCAAGGCTTACACAGCAGTATGAACTCACTTCATAAGCAGAGAAATACTGACTAGAAGTAGGAAGCTGTTACAATACACACATAGCCTTACTGGCCTGTTACAAATGCTGTATCTCCTGTAATGTCCTTTCAGAGTCACATCTTGATAAACAGGAAGATGTTCATAAATGAGCATGATCATTACTATGTCTTGAAAAATTGGCTTAATAGGAGAGATGTAAGAATACCTAGATAGAAAAATACCTTTTAGTGGAATGGCTATCAGTTATATGGAACTTTTTCTTATAGATGCTTTTTTCATTTACAAAGCAAAAGCGTATTAAAATCAATGACTGGGTGTTGAATTGAATAAACTCGTTATAGAAGTTAAATGTACTGTAAGATTGCAAGCTTATGTAGGTATAAGGTAAAACCTGTGATGTTTTATGTCCTTTGCTTCCATTTCAGAAAGCCATTTATTATTCCATTGGAAGCTGTGAACAGATAAAAGTACCACATAGGCTTCACTTCACTAGGGGGAGAGTGAAAAAATGTAATGTATTATTGAACATAATTAAGCATGAGGAAAAATAATCCTTGGTTTTAACAAGTCTTGGCTGAGTGAAGTGTAAATCCCAGAAGTAATCACCTCAAATGCTCAATCTAGTTAAACTGTTGTTTTACTTATCTGTACTAAAATGTGCACTATAAATCTTTTTTTCCTAATACACTCATAGCAATGAAGAAAATTGGTGGTGTGCAGTTGATGGCACTTTCGGTCCTCAACTGTGAATATGAGTATTAGAAGGGGGAGTAAAAGCAAAATAAATGGTTTCAGAAGTTCTTTGATTATGTGAACACTTGAACCAATGAAACATAATTGAAGAGTCTGTAATTCCAGAACTTCTCTAACAAAATAATTAAAATATCGCAATCTTGAACATATCAAACTAGCTTTGTTGTAATAGCGTGTTATGTCTTGCATTCGCTTTTATTCCTTTTAAAAGGCTCAAGATCAAGTTTTGCCTTAGGAGTAAAGAATTTTCTAAGCTGGTACATCTTGCCACTCAAGCACAAGGGGTTTTTCTTTGCTGAAGATGCATCATTAACCCAGTTCTGTTATTTGGGGGTTCCACAGTACCAAAACTGAGGAATTGCTTGGTTTGAACCCTAGAAAGTTTGTTCAACCATCACTTCAGAAGACCTAAGTTCTTAGGAAAAAAAATGTTAAAAGAGTAAGTTTTGAGAAAAAAAAAATATACAAAATTGGACCTTTCTTCTTTGTAACTTGAAAAACCTTTTATTTTGACAGGCATTTTGGTATACAAAGCGCACAGAATTATTGAGTCCTGTCAAGAAGCGTTTATCTTGCGACTTTATCGCCAGAAGAACAAGCAAGGCTTCATTAAAGCTTTTACAGATAATGCAGTTGCATTTAACACTGGCTTTTGCCATGTGGAAAGAGTGATGAAAAATCTTTTTGTCAGGAAACTTTATCTGTGGCCGAGGTAAGGAACGTCTTTACTTCATTGGAGAGTTAAACTTAAAAAAAAAAGATTAAGGATGTTACAGTGGGTTCCTAAGAAAATGAGACGTATGCAAGTCACACTGCTAATCTGTGTTCCCTCTTGTATTCCCAAACAAACTTCATTCAATTTTTGACAGAGTAAGTGGCCTTAAAGATGCTAAATTTCTGTAACTATTTTTGAAAACAGACCCAAATTAAATTAATAAGGGGCTGAACCTTATGGTATAGCTGTCCTTTTAGCCAATAGAAATCACAGCAACAAGTGACATTCTTAATAGTTTAAGAAAAACTCCAGTTACTAAACAGTTTAAGCCGTGATGTAACAGGAATACAGTCTCTTGGTTCTGCAGTTCTTGGAGGTATTTGTTTCTAACTGTGATGAAACTTCATGGATCTCTTTCTGCATGTCAGATTTTTTTTAAACTTCTTTTACATGTATGTTGTATATGAAGAATATTTCTTGATGACCAGTAGAAACCAAATTGCCAAGTTTGTGACATGCATTAAGTCTTTCAGGAGCAGAGCCCGAAATGGATCTGGGTGCTATTGCTGATTACCCATTCCATGCTCTTGCCTTGGGCAGGAGGTCTGCCCCTTCCTTTAGTCCAACGTAGAATGTGTTTCACTCCATCATAATATTCTGTTACTCTGCATTGTAAACTCTTTAACAGTCTTTCTTTGAGTATCACAAAGAAGTAGAAATGGGCATAACCAGGACAGGAAAGGTTGAATAGAAGCTCTCCCTTCCTCGGCTTCTGAACCAGGGAAAGACGTGGGGGTGCAGCATGCAGTAAGGGAAGTGCCCGTTGAGTTCCAGAGGTCTGCAGATGCAGCATTCTGTGAGTAAAAATGAGCTAGCATCTGTGTACCTGTACTGCCAGATTGGCTGTAACAGGGACCTGCTGCTTATAATCAGAAGCTGGGAGCATCACAGAATCTGCTAGTGGATCCATGTGATTCCAAAGGATTTATGAACCCATTCCAGCTTCTCCCCTATGAGATTTTTTTGTTTTACTTCAATATTTGCTATGTGTAATAATGATGTAGAATCTAGCACAGTAATTTTCCATGGATCATTCACCAGCACTATAGGTTTGCATGACTAGAATGACTACAGTCATAATTGTGGAATAGATGGTTTTCTGAGGCTGTTCATAAGATTGCAGTCTTCATGTCAGCAAAAACTGGTTTATTTTGCAATTAACTTACTTATGTTTAAAACAATTGTAATTGTAGTTTATATGAACTTCTGAATAATTGTAGCTCAAGCAAACCATCCATGTAAATCTTAGCAAAGCTGTTTTCTTCTTAGATTTCATGTAGCAGTGAACTCATCTTTAGAGAAGCATAAACCTGAAGTGGTGGAACTATATGTGTCAATGACCCCTGCTATGCTTGCTATCCAGACTTCAATCCTGGACATTTTGAATGCATGTCTGAGAGAACTCAAACGTTATAATCCAGCTCTTGAAGTAGAAGATCTATCTTTAGAAAATGCTATTGCTAAACCTTTTGACAAGGTAACCATTTTGATTGTTTTGTTGTGTCTAACTGGATGTAGATCTGTCAGACTGTCTGCCATGCAAAAAACATATTATTTGTAAAGTAAATAACCAGCAGCAACTGAGTATTCTCCCATGACATGTTTATTACTGGTACAAGGAGAGAAACTGTGTTAATCTGTAATAATGATGTTACAGTAAGAACATCCTGATTCATGGTTGGCTTATTATTATTATTAAGATGTCTGCAATTTCAGCTCAGAATACTTTAGAGATTTGTATGCAGTTATTTCCACACACCCCACACCTTTTTTCCTCTTGAATTTCCTGCTTCTATTTTCTATTTTCTCTATTAAGAGAAGCACTGTATATAATACATAATATGCACATGCATGCATCTGTTGCATCTTTTAATCATTATATATGTCATTAATTGTGTGTGCATTGTAATTTTTGGCAGATCTGCAATGTTTAGCATACATAGGCTTTCTGTAGGGTAAAATCATATGCATCACAGTGAAGCATGGTTATTTGTTACGTGTGATTTAATCTTGATGTAAGGCCTTCTGTACTTTAAATATTTGGAGGGTTTTTTTCTTGTGCTCTGTAGGTCGCACATCTGTGTGGTACTCCTCTTATTTTGAAAATTAAATGACATAATATGTTTTGATTTACTGAAGTAAATGATACTAGTTACTAAAGGCACAGGCCCATACCAGTAAAATAAGGTGTTTTTTTTTTTATTTTACCACTATTTTATTATTATGTGGAAGGGAAAATATGTACTGAAAGCATTAAATAATGTAATATATATCTGTAAATTGTTGAAATGTTTTACATAAAGGCATCTTTATTATGTTAAGTAATAATCTTTTGCAAAGTTATCAAAACAAACACCTCACCATCACATCTTTAATTAGGTATGTTTAATAACCTAGGGGAAAACTAGCGGCACCCCCTGTAAATGAAAAAGTGCATTCTTACCTTGGTTAGTATACTATGCACTTGACATTCTGGACTTCCCAATTTATATTTCTAGACAATACGTCACTATTTAGATCCTCTGTGGCATCAACTTGGAGCTAAGACAAAATCTTTGGTCCAGGATTTGAAGATACTACGTACTTTGCTGCTGTATCTGACTCAGTATGATTGTGTCACTTTCCTTCATCTCCTGGAGTCACTGAAAGCAAGTGAAAAAGCTTTTGGTGAGAATTCAGGTAAACACTGAATAACCATACAAGTTAATGTATGAAATAGTGAAATGTTGATATTTTTAATTAACATTCCCAAACATATGAAGGTATCTAATTAGGTTTTATATAACCAGCCATAAGGACGTAGGTTTTTATTGACAGATAATGCTTTCATCTTCCCACTTAACTGCTGTTACTTAACAGTGTGAGATTTGCATCACATTTCTGTCTTCTATTAAGCTGGTAATTACATAGCAAGCAGGTAGCACAGGTATTCCAGATGAGAGATTTGGGGCTTTTATTGGAAACAGATACACATTGCAAATGTCAAACTACTACTGCTTTCTTTTCCTGTTTAGGTTGGCTATTTCTTGACTCCAGTACTTCAATGTTTGTAAATGCTCGAGCTAGAGTTTATCGCATTGCAGATGAGAAACTGAATCAGAAAGGCAAAGTCTCTGAAAAAAGTGATGGAAAGAAGGAAAATGGTACTGATCATTCCTAATTTTAAGTTTGAGAGTGTCACACGATTTCAAATGTTCTGCATAATATTACTTGTGCTATGGTTCTCTACGTGATCATACCCAGCTCAAGATCTCAATCTGTTAGCTGAGATAAATTGAGACATAATCTTAGTTTAAAAAGTATATAATAACATAAAACAGAGTCACGAAGAAGGAAGGGGTTATCCTAAGCTTGCTCGGCTGATCATTGGGAAAGCTGTTATGGAACTGTTCTCAAGTTACATTGGTGTTTAGCTCGATCTTTTTTATTTTATGTGAACTGGTAGGAAACTGCTGTTGATTTTATTAAAAAAAAATATATATACCCAGGAGTTTCAGAATTGAAGAATGATAGGGTATTTTATCTTTTTGCATCACTAAAGAACCTATCGCCATTTTTAAATTTCTGTAAGAGCGTTCTCCAACCCATTAGCACAAGTTGTGTATGTAGGCTGTTGAGTATTTTATTTGCCAACAACCATCACACTATTGACATCTAACCACTAATTTAAAGTTCTGAAGGATATTTTGACTGTAAGAGCTGCTGTGTTCAAACTTTCTTTGTTTCAGAACTGAAAAGGGAATTAGTTCTAGAAAGTAACCCAAAATGGGAAGCTTTGAGTGAAGTATTGAAAGAGATTGAAAATGAGAATAGGAACAGTGAAGACCTTGGTGGCCCAGGTAAGAGAATACTAAATGATGTAAATTTTCAGTACAGCTAGTTTTTACTTCTACTTGACTTTTGAGAGAAGGAGCCTAACTCTTTACCATAGTTTTATTAAAGAACTAGTTTTACGTTTAATTATTTGTAGACTTGAGGAGTTTCTATACATATGTCCATAAACTTCTACATAGTTCTTGCTCTAAAAGGGAAATGCTGTTGGTTGCTATGCAACATTGTTTAGGAAAGAACCTGTATTATTACGAAAAAATATTTTAACTTATATTTCAATATTGTACTGATAACTTAGTCTCAAACAATAAAACTAATGACATGGAAATTTACAATAATTGAGGTACCATTTCTCAAGTTTGGGTTCAAAAAAAAATAGGTGTTCTGTCTTATGCCCCTTCCATCTCACAAATTCTTCTTATGCACCTGAAAAATGACTTCTCCAGAAGATGCACCTAAATGGGGCAGAGAGTATAAGGCAAGTGTGTTTCTAACTAATTGCTTTGCTGACTTTTCTATTTTAGGGCTTTTCATCCCCTTAAATTTTACCAAGTTTTATTTTAGGAAATAGTAAGGGTAAAAAAGTGCTCTCTTCTCCCACCCACAGTGTTCTGACTCTGGATAAGAACTGGCTCTCTTGCCTAGTTTTGTAGGAGTTTATCTGAGTCAGCTTGTGGAGAATTGTTATTCAAGGCCCACAAATGTCAATAGTACTGTGTGAAACATGTATTTTTTTTAGACTCCTTAACACAGCTGACAAAGGCTGAAAATTAGAATGGTCTAAATGAAGTTCTCTTATTCCATGTTTAAAAAAAAAAAAAGAAAAAGTAGTTGTCCAAGTATGTTTCAATGCATGCTACATCTGCCTCATTTCAGGTGGTCAAAAGGAAAGCCTCACTAATATAGATGGTGTAAGAGTAAGGAATGCTGAACTTCCATTAACCTTCTCTAATCTTGTTTGGTACAAAGTGTTATGCAATTTGGTCTCCCTGAAAGTCCAGAGTAACAATGACAATCAAATGTAAAGGCATTTGGCAGGCAACCTTTTAGTAACACTAAAAACAGTTTGCTCAAGAGATGTCTTGTAGCTGGATAAGAAGTACAGTGTAACAGATTATAAACATCATATTGTTTCTTGACTGCAGGGCAAGTACTTATTTGTGCCAGTGATGACCGAGCTTGTGCACAGCTCAGGGAGTATATTATTGCTGGAGCAGAAGCTTTTTTAACAAGACTGTATAACAAAACCTTTGGAAAGGATGAGAAAGCTGGAGAAATGTGGATTAAGGACAGAAAAACCATCACGTCCAAAGGAAAGGCCAGACCAGACACAGGGCCTCAAGCCAAAAAAGCCAAACTCACAGCTTCTTCAAAACAAAATAAACACAAGAAGCAGCAAGACCGGACTATAATCCAAATGATAGGGAAAACTGAGGAGGAAAAGAGAGAGGAGTTAGAAGTAGAAGATAACAAAGAATTAAGCAGTAGCCAAGAAAGCGGTATTGAAGAAACCATTCCTGAAGATTTCCATGTGAATTTACCCTCAGATTGTTACTACGGTATTTTCAAGAACCCGCTTACCATTATTCACCCATTGCAGGGTTGCAGTGATCCCTATGCGCTCACTCGGGTACTGCATGAAGTAGAACCAAGATACGTTGTATTGTATGATGCAGAACTAACTTTTGTTCGGCAGCTGGAAATCTACAAGGCAAGCAGGCCTGGGAAGCCTTTGAGGCAAGTTGACTTGGTCAGAGTAATTTTAGTTTAAAAGAAAAAACAAAAAGTGTACTTCCAGCAGTCAAGGCATAATGTGCATCTAGTGATTTTTCTTTAGCTACCTTTTAATTCCTGGTTAGCCCTCTTCTAAATTTTAGACAAAAGCATAATGTCTGATGTAACCAAAAGATAATTTTTACTTCCCAGCAGGTATTTAGTGCCTTAACAGCAGAAACGTACCTATTAGATAAAAAAAAAAGTTTATTCCATCTTCTACAAGACCTCTGCTTTGATGATCTTGGCAGCAATAGATCCATTTTGATGTGCTGTAGTCTCATTTTAAACTGTCTCTATAGGTATGATTTTCACACAATAAGCTTCAGTTTGGATTTAATTGATTTTCTCATTTCCTGATGTCTGGTCATGCTGAAGACCAGTAATTCAGAAACTAACAGAAAAACAAGTAAAAGAAAATGCAATAAAGAAAATAAGTATTTGCAGTTATGCTCAGTTCTGGTGTTGGCGGACAGATTTCCTCATTGTGTAAACATATATTCGATACACTTGTAAATTGAAAAACTCACTTTTATAAGTGTTTCAGACTAATTAAAAATACAGAAAACTTAAAATTTAATAGGCCAAGTTTCTGCATTATCTTCATTTATATGGCTGCCTGATACAGCATTTCTTGAATACAGTAAACTGTGGTAATAGCTCTGCCTCTCTGAAAATAACTTACAGCATTTTCTTAAGTCTTAAAATAAACAGACTTTACTTACTACCGTTGAAACAATTTATTGGCATATGAAATCATTACCTTTTGAATTATAATGCTTTATACTTTATAATCACCTAATGACATTTTTTTTCATAAATTTAACAGCAGTTGTAATTTTCCAGTCAAAGATTTATATATATGCAACGTAAATGAAAATGGAAATCAGTTTGGAAGTATTTAGTGTGTCTGTACCTGATACCCAAGTAAGGACTCTCTAGTGCAGATATAAATGACAGAATTTAAGAAGTGTATTGCAGGAGAATAACTACTGTGTTATTTGTACGATTTGTTTTTAATTGCCTAATCAGCACGTGTTGTAACTACCTCCAGCATCATGTTGCCACGCTTCAGACCAGGAAAATCAGATGCAGTCATGCAAGCAGGGGTTAGGAGATGTACCACATGAAAAAAATAATAGGAATAAAATACTGTCGGTTTGTCAAAATGTGCCTCAATTAAAATATATTAGAAAAAAATTACTGTGCCAAAAAGCTATAGACAATGAATTCCTTATGTTCCATATAAATCCCTATTTGCAGAATAAAACTTCATTTGTTGATATGCTCATCTCTGTGAGACAAATAACAGCTTGCTCTTTGAAGAGCCTACGATTTCCTTGTACAAATACATAATTTTAAAATCTTAGATGGTGTTTTTTCCTAACCCAGGATGACTGCAGATATTTTAGTTTGTTATATATATTCTACTGGGAAGATTTTAAAAGCAGTGAGAAAGTAATTTCCCCATTATACTTGCTTTGTGTCTTTACTGAATGGCTGACTGCAATCCGAATCCACCCGGGTTGAATCCCAGAATTCCAGTAAGTGTATCTGCCACTGGGAAAAGAGAGAATGCTGGATGTAAGAATTTTTATTGATGATTTTGGAAGTATCTTTACAGAAGACGTCTTTACAGAAAAAGTGGTTTTTCAGTAGCCTTTTTAAAGGCAAATACTAACTTGTCAGGCACTTACTGCTACTAATCTTAAATATTGGTTGTGGGTGTCTTTAACTTAAACTCTTTCTTCTTTTTTTTTCCTCCTCCAAACCTACAGAGTTTATTTCCTCATGTACGGGAGCTCAACAGAAGAACAGCGCTATCTCACAGCTCTGAGAAAAGAGAAGGAGGCCTTTGGAAAACTCATTCAGTAACAAAATTAGTTTACTACCTTTATTATTAATGTTTCATGTAATATCCTTATGTGCTCACATCTTAAGTATGGTGAAGTACTGAACTGTGTGAAGGCTTTAAATAAACTTTTAATTCAGTTGCTTTTCAGATATTAAGAGAACTTTCCCACTGAGAATCAACGAA